TGGAAGGTGTCCCTGCCCATGGCAGGGGGTGGAACAAGAAGAGTTTTAAGGTCTCTTCCATCTCAAACCGTTTTGGGTTTCTATGATCTCAACCCCAGCTCCATCTCACTGGGGCTGCCAAGATTCCATCCACACCCCTGGAAGCCTCATCCTGCCCTCGCACAGGAGCAACTCCTGTGATGGAGATTGTGATTTGATGTCCACAATCCAAGGAAAGGCGGCATAAAAGTAGAGAGGTCACCAGAACCACAACCCTCCATGCTCCCTTTACCCCAAACACCACCAGCACCTCCAGAGGAGCAGCAAACCCGCAGAGGAGGCCCTGATGCCACCCCACGGTGATGGCTGTGCCTCCCCCTGGTTGAAGGTGGGAAGGTCTCACCCTCTTCCACGTGGCTGGGCTGAGGTGCCGCCGGCCGCTCTGGCCGGGCTGGCTGGAGAAGCAGCAAGCAGAAAGCTTTCATCACTGGGTGGGACTGGCTGACCTCGATTTTCAGATAGTGGCAGTAAGTGTGGTAGCCTGGGGGGACAGAGCTCATGGTCAATGCATCTGGTGGGGTCAGACTTCCTGGATCCCCCCCATCCCTCCCACCCTGGAGCACAGGGGAGGGTTGTTTGCCAGGCTCCAGCTCTGCCCTGCCTTCAATGCTGGGGATGAACTCCGCTCCCAAAATCCCAGCAGGAAAAGCAGGGGAAGGGCTGAGGTCCCTTTCCTTCTGCCTTTAGGACAGGAGAGATGGGGGTCTGCTGCTTGTGGAAATGAGGTCTGGCCATTGGTGAAACCCAGAAGGGCATTGCCCACCTTTTGGGATAGAAAAGCAGGACCAAGCAGGCATCAGGAGAAGCCACTTGCTCCAGTTTTCCCATTTCTGAACGCAGGTGGTTTGAAGCCACTCTCAGTCCTGGCAGCTCCAGGCAACGGAGAAGCCCCAGACCACCTCCCCCAGGAGCTCAGGGGTGGGAGAAGGGCTCCCATGTTCCCAGAGGGGCTGCAGGGGGACCCTCTCCATGCCCTACCTGGGTCGAAGGTCTCCACGCCCCGGTTCAGCAGGCTGATGTCCAGCTGGCAGAAGTGGATGGCATTGTAAAGGCCAGAAATGACCATCCTCCACACCCCAGCCAGGACACCCACCAGGACGTTGATGGGGAAGAGCAGGTAGGTGACTATGTAGAGGGCTCGCCTGTGGGTGGAGAAGGAAGAGCACGGAAGACAAACACCACGGGATGGGAAGCACAGCCCTTCCCTGCCAGAGAAACCTGCCAAAATAAGCCTCCCTCCCTTCCCTCCCTTCTCATCAGACACGATCTCCATCTGAGGTGTCTCCATCCCATGGAGAGAGGCAAACACCCTTCCAGGCTCTCTGAGCACTGTCAGGACCTCAGAGTTTGGCCTCCAGCACACACAGGGTCTCCTTTTCTCCTCAAAGACTTGGAAACCAGACAAAGCATGAAGCTGGTGGTTTGGGATGGAGGGCACCAGCTCCCATGGAGGCCAGAAGAGCCCACAGCAGCCTCCCTGCTGTGCCGGGTGAGTGGTGGAGGTGGTGGAAGTGCCTTTGGTGGATGGAGCAGGACACTTAGATCCATCCATCACCCCAGCCTTCAGCGTAAGGCACATCTTAGGCTGTGACACATCTTAGGCTGTGACACCACGTGTGACCACATCTGCTGCCAGAACTGAGCTGGTCCAGCCGATCCTGGAGGATCCGGACTTCCTCAGGAGGTGACAGGGCAGGGTGCAGACCTCACCAGTTTCCCCCCACCAAAATCAAGGCTGCAAATGGACTGTGGCCCTGTAAAGCATCTAAAGAAACTTCCCTGGGAGCATCAAGCCACTTAAACACCTCGAATTCCCTTGAGCTCATGACCCAGTGGACACCACACCAGGGACATGTGTAAACCTAACACAGTCCTAGAGTGCTGGACCTCGGGAGGGTGAGCTCTGCCCCCAGGGCTCACCATGTCCCCATACCTGTTGGTGAGCTCCTTCTGGAGGGGATGCTGCTCCAGGAACTGGTAGTGAGCTGCCAAATGTTGCACAATGACGGCAACCACCAGGGTCAACCAGAAGGGCCTGGGCGGGAGGGAGGAGACAGGTTGGGCACCGGGAGGGTGCCACGCACGAGACACCATCCCAGGCAGCAGAAACATCCAGCAAAGCTGGAAGAGTCCCCAGTAGAACACCCCAAAGCACACCATGGCCATGGCACCCACTTGGGTCTTCCATCCCTTCCCAAGGGCTGGGAGCACTCACCACATGTTCTGAACGACGGTGAAGAAGGGGCTGCTCGTGCTGTACTGGAGCGGGATGACAACGAGGAAGGCAAACACCACTGAGCAGAAGAAGAAGATCACTTGCTGGATGAGGAGACCTGGGAGGGAGACACAGAGAAAGAGAGAAACCATGGAGGGGGAGGATGGAGAAGCAGTTCTCATTTTTGCTCTCATTCCCCAGATCCATGCTCATTGCTGAACATGATTTTCATTTTAATCCCATAAAATGCCCGTGAGATCCTTACCTGCCTCCCCCGCTCCGAACACGATGCTCCGCGCAGGATTTAATTACAAGTTCAGTCTTTCTTATCACTCCCCACATTATCCCCGCTGAGAAGAGCCATCACTCGGGGCTGCAACTATGATGTCTCATCATAAAATCCAGCCTGAGCTCTGATTTCTAATCATAAATCACACCAAGATCAGCAGCGACTGTGTTTCCTTGTGCTCAAGCTGGTGCTTCACCGCCCCTGCTCTACTTTAATCACTTGAAATCCAAGAGTTTTAAGAAGGAGGCGAGATCCAGCTCTATCAGGGATGCACTGAGCACTGAGTGGTTTGTGGAAAGCTGGTGCAAGGAGTTCCTGGGGAGCTCCCCAGCTCCTACCTCTGCACTATGCTCAGCAATGTGCCTGCAAAACAGGTCTGCTTTCTCCAGGGATGGTCACTCCTGTCCTTCCATCACACCCCTGGACCCTCAGCCTGACTCCCCTGCCTGACCTCGGAGTGCTGATACAGTTGATTGTTGGCAGACAATGAGCAGAGTCACCTCCCATGGGGCAGAGAGGCCTTAAAATGTCTCCAAACCATGGTGGGGTAAAGATTTACACCCTATTTGATGTCCTGCACCCATCCCTGCAGTGGTCTCTCCCTCCCAGGCAGGGAGATGCGGGCTGTGATGGGGAAGGGGCACAGTGAGGAACACCCAGAATGACCAGGACTGGGGGAGACAGTCCTTTGCACGAGATTCTGCGACAGCTTCTCAAATCAAAATATTTGGGCTTGAGCCAAAATGAATCATCATCCCACCCACCCCCCCTTCCCATTTTAATTCCTGACCATTTGGCGTTCAGCATGGTCCTTCCCGCAGAAGGACAGATTGTGTTTGGGGAAAGGGGAACAAAAGCCTCACAGCCATCCCTCTGCAAAAGGGGGTGAGAAAGGGGGAAGAGATGCTTAATTCCAGGATAGACTGTGCAAGGTGGGGATCCACCACCCCTCCACCCCTTTCTGCCCCCAAAATCCTTTACCCAAGCAGGCAAAAGCTGTCTGGAAGCCGGCAAAGCTCATCCAGCAGACAATGGCTTGTCGGGATGGGCGGAGGATATGGGCTTTGTAGAACACGTCCAGCACGGCCCCTTGGTAAAGTGCCTTCAGGTTATTCCTGGGGAGAGAGTCCAGCTGCATCCCAGCTCGGTGGCAAGGACAAAGCCAACGGAGCAGGGACACCATCCATACCTGTGCATCACCAGCGTCCTCAGGAGCATGGCACAGGTCAGGAGGCAGCACAGCACCAGCGAGCAGATGTAGCACACTGTGGAGGAGCAGAGGGAAAGGCTGGATCAGCCAGCCTGTGACCAGCCCCAGGAACGGGATTTTACTGGAAAATGTATCTAAGGAGCATTGCAGGGGCTGAGTTACGGGGTTGCATGGCACCACACCTCAGTTTCCCTCCCTCCCTCCTTCGCAACACAGGGATCTCCAAATTCCATGTGTGAACTGATGAGACAGGGAAAGGGAAAGACAAGCTGTCAAGGGAAATCCAAGCAGTTAGGCTGGCCCAGCACTGGAAAAATCATTGGAGCAAGCTGTGATAAGCAGGTGGTGCGATGGAGAGAGCCTGGGAAGGTGCTCGCAGAAAAGTGGATGCTGGGGGGAAAGCAACAGGGGGGGAAGGAAGTCTGGTAGGAGGGATGGAGATGTCAGGGGGGGGAAAAAAACGTGATGAGAGAGGCTTGGTGATTCAGGAAGAGCCATAAAAAGCCTTCCCAGGGTCGGTGGTACCCCAAGGTAGTGTTGTGGAGGGAGGAGTGGCATTCCTGCTACCCCCATTCCAGGCTTTCAATTATCCAGGGGGGCCTGGGGGCCATCTGCTCGAGTCCAGCACATATCAAAGCCC